ATAGTGCCTTGTTATAGCTTGTCATCATTACAATTATACAATTATTATATTCTCCGAAACTCCCCAATGGCGAAATTGATTCCGCATGTAACATTTATATGTAATTATTCATTTTCATTCTAGATATAGAATTCTTTGTATTCATTGTAGAAGGAGTTTCAGAGAACTGTAGGAAATAGTTTTGGAATAAATTTATAGCGTGTTCCTAGTAATGTATGAATCTCGTAATGCACTTAATTCCTAAACAGAAACGTCAAGTTTTTCAATTTATAAGTGATGTTTTGCATGCCTTTTGCCTACAGTATGTACATATTTCTACTAATACTACAAGAAACAAGCATAACTTCGACAATATGGAGACTATTGTACTTGCATCCCTTTCTACATTCTCGCCTTACTGCGATGCAGTAAAGAGAAAGTATTGTAATGCCAGTGCACACATCTTTCTTTTTTTTTGTTTATTTTGTTTTTCCCGCTGGAAAACTCCTTTGGTATAAAAAATGTGTATAACTCTTATTGTTATGTTTAGTAAATTACTTTCCCTAACACGTTGTTTAATTAGAATCCACATTACATCCATGATACCGAAAAAATTGATTGTCGCAAAAAGTTTGTCTTAATGTAGTCAATACTAGCGCCTAAACCGTTTCGATGACTTTCTCCAAAATAGATATTTCCCAATTGATCCAATCAAAATCAAGACCCTGCGAGGCTGAAGCGGAAAATTAAAATTTTCGGAAGTACATCAAATGAAGCCTTGACAACATTCTCACATTTTTCTCGAAGATGACTGCAAATGTTTTGATTGAACTTTGCCCTCGGATAGCGTAAAGGACACTTAAAAATGGCACCGGTCACATTCTCCAAGTTCAATTTTTCCATTCTTCCCTTATCCCCTCTCCTTTTATCTTCAAAGACAAATATTGAAATAAGGTCACGTTCAGTTTTCGAAAATAATAGTACTTTTCGCGTGAAATATAGGCAATTTTTAAACAATTATTTTTTTCAAAAGCTGGTCTTTTCCCTCGGGTAAAAGTAATGGTGCTGATGACATTTGTGGCTAACACTATTTTCGAAAATTGCAAAAATAGAACATTGCAAATGTACAATTTTGATTGTAGAGATATCCTCCTAAAGATTCTGTTCTAAAAATTAGTTTTTTACAGAAGTCCATGTACAAAAATTTTGAAAAAGTTGTTTCCACGTACTTTTTGCTTGGCGTTAATGCAATTTATATTTATCTCAAAAACAGCTCAGAACACTTGTTTAGTGGGCACATGATACCAAAGCATTTTCCTTACTCCTATATGAATTCCAAGATCGATTTGGCGGATGTCACGGTCCTTCGAATTTGAAGGGAATATTTTAATTTTAGGGGGAACAACAACACTTCCGAAATTTTCTGAAAAACGCCTTCAATTTTTTCTTTAAACATGTACTCGAATGTTTGCTTAATAAAATGGCATCAAATTTTCATTCAAACATCTAAGTTTCAGAATACTTAGGTTTAGCTAAATTTCAACTTTGTCTTCACAAGTCGGAAGGGTTGCTGCGCCAAGTCAGTTGCCTGGTGTGTGAGATTTATAGCTTGCTAAGCCTAAGAATCTGGTTCGTATCCCAGTCCGTGCATCTATTTTTTGTAGATAGAAAACACTTTGACTGGTTCAAATATTATTATAATATTATTTAATTGTTGGAAATAATGCGAGTACGGATGTTCTTTTAAAGCACGTTAGCACACTGAAGGAAAATTGTAAGTTACTCTACAAAAGCGCGAAATTGGTCATTCGCACACTAGTCGAAAGCGACTGAAGACGAATGCGCGAATCACCTTGCACACACTATTTTTAACACCCCGTACGCGTAAGTTGTTTCTCGAACACTTCTTAATATTTCGCACACGAGTAGTGCAAACTGAAAACAATAGCTGTTTCCCAAATGCAAAACAAGCACGGGAAACCGAGTTGAAAACCAACAACTTATATTTTATTCGGGTTATAGGTAATATTTCTTACGAAACATCTGTAACACTTAATTTTTCATCTGCCTACGTTCTGCTCACGCCACAAGCTTGCATTGAACATAGATGCCTCATTAGATGCAGCAATGTTTAAAAGTTTCAACCGTTGTACACATATCTCGTCTTGTTTTCCAAACTTTATATGGGGAATGGGAAAAACAATTTGTGGACATCCTCCGAATTACCCCACAAAATACTCACCTTGGTTTCATCACAAAATATTATTTTCCAGTTTCTGAGCGCTAGTTCACCTGCGTAAGACGGACATTTTAAAACAGAAAATTACAGGTCATTCCAATGTTACAAACTTATATAGGGGTCGAAAGTTAGTACTTTTGCCAATGAAAATACAATGGGAAATTGCAATAACAAAATTATACGTGTGACATTTGCCTCGGATTTTAGAAATATGAAATCTCGTCGACTACCTCAAAACGTGTTCTACCGAACAACACTAATTGCGAAACTCGAAAACACTTTGTCTCTCACAAGCCTTATGTATTCTGCTCGTTCAATTTATTTTAAGAAACCTCTTTGAATTTACCTCGTGAAAAACTTATGTTTAAACCATTCTTAAACTTCTTAGTTAAGCTGCTACAACGAACGAATTATTAATATTCGCCAACCAATTGGGACCTCTAGCGTCATTTTTCCATCTATCTTCGTTTATGTAAGAAGTTATTGTCTCATCATTTAGGACTTTTATTACTATAACCTTTCTCATTCCTGATGATGGTTTCGTCTTTCGATGCATATGGGATGTTTACAAAAAATTCAAGTTCGTCGCCGAGCTTATCACTTCGTGGAAACAAAGTGGGGACAAAATGGGGACATTTGCGGGGATAAAATTGAGACAAGAGTGACAAAAGCTGGAAATGGGGTAAAATGGACAAATGGGGACAAATGGAACAAAGGAATAAATGAGACAACGGGACAAAAGAACAAAGGAATCAAGGGGACAAAGGGACAAAATAAGACAATAGGGACAAAGGTAACGAGGGATAACAGAGACAAACTAACAAATGGGTCAAGGAGGCCAAGGGACAAGATGAGACAAAGAGACAAGATGGGCAATGAACAAAATGGGACAATGGGAACAAAGTGGGACAATGGAGTGAAAAGAACAAAATGGGACAAGGGGGAAAAGAACAAAATTGTACAAGGAGACAAAATGGGAAAAGGGAACAGATGACAAAAGGACACAATAAGACAAGGGAGACAAACGGACAATGGGGACAAAGGGAATAAAATCTGCGATCAATCCTCCAAATCACCTTCAAATGGGAAAAGGAGGACAAGAGGGCCGAAATGAGACAAAAGGAATTTCGCAGCTTCAAATGACATTACATTCAGTGTAAAGTTAAAAAATGATTAACTTTAATACATCTGTAGCAAAACAATTATAAAAATAAAATGTGTTTACATTTATTCCCAAAAATTTTGTTTTGTGGCAACGACATTTTTATCTGAAATTTTATGAGCCCTTTTAAAATGTAAACCCAAAAGTCCGCTAAAGTATTTTAATGGACTCTCGAGCATTTTAACCGCTCGTGTTTATTGACAAAAATAAAAAAACATTTTATTTAACATAATTTCAAAAAATAATCTTTAAGAAAAGGTTGCATAAAGACAAATCTCTGGCTTCAATTTTGAAAGTGTTGAACAGGTTCGAAAAAAGTTGAACATTCCATTTTTTGACATTTTAGAGGTATGAATGAAAATCGGATCTTTACTATATTTATAAAGGCCCTTTCGTCTATTCCAGTACAGCATTTAAAAAAATTAAATCATTTTTGAGAAAATGTCGTAGGGGGCCCTGCACCCCCAAATACCCCTCACAGAAACCTACAAATTAAATTTGCAGGGCATTGATTTCGGCCAGATCAATAGAGCAATATCCATATTAGAGAAAATCCTACGTATGTTTGAGGCGCTAGTGTTATTCACAGACAAACGATGGACTCTATAAAACAACTTTCTGGAATCAGAAAACTTCAAAACTATATTTTTCTTCAAAATCTCGAAATATATTGTTGTAATATTACATAACTTTCTCTATACTGGGTTTGTGTACAAGAAAGTGAAAATAAGTAGCAATACGGAAATGTATTACTTTTCCAACTTGAAAACTTATTTCCTTTTCATAAACAAAATATTCTTAAACGTGAAAACATTTAATTTAAGCAATGCATCAAATCATTTAATTAATGTTTCCTTTGTGATTTTAGATTCGTTTTGACAATCAAATCGTAGTACCGCTGCTTTCTCAGTTTCGAAGCTGTTCCAGACAGTCCCCTGTCCTTTTAGTAAAATAATATATTGTAACAGAGTTAACCCTCGACAGGGTGCATGCAAATCTCTTTCACTCACGTGACAACACGGCTACAATCATGCGGCACGCGCACCGCCTATATCGGATTTGAGAAAAAAATATTTTTCTTAATTGTTACTTTTGAGCTACGGCGTACAAAGTTGTTATACAACAAAATAAAGATAAATTTAATTGCAGAAAAACTCAGTTTAAATAAGTATTCTGAAATGTGAAGCGTAACAGAACGAAATTATGCAGTTATTTAAAAACTAAAACCATCCGTTACGGTTCCAACCGTAACTTAAAAAAAATAATGGTTTCAGTCTCAATTTTGAAACGATTTTAATAGTGTCAGTTTCAGTTTAATACCTTTATTTGTAGAGAAATGATAACAGTAATGTCCATGTATGGCACAACGATTTTCCTTTGGTAGATCAACCATATATTTCTTAAAGAATATCCTTTGAAAATCTTAAAAGTTGTTGCTGTAGTTATGGCTGAACATTTGTAAAGATGACATTTTTAATAGTTGAACTAGAACAACAAAATTATTTAAAATTAAAATTTTGTGTTGAATTACTTTCAAACTGGTAAAATAGTGTTTTTCTGAACCAATTCAACTTTATGTTCTTTCGGAATGACTTAACTCGTGCAATCTCTATTTTTCAGATTCTCTTTCGTCGGCCACAGATCTGGATCATTCTCTTCCCGGCCAACATCAAGGGATAACAATGCATTCAAATGACAATACTGGGCCGAGATCTCTGTTCAATTTACATAAACTTTCTGATGACTACGTAAGCCTCACAGATTTAGACTTGTATGCGTCTGCTGTGAAAAAGAAACACGAATCTGAAAATGATTTACAGTACTTAGTCTCATCCGACTCTCACTTTTGTGAATTGGCAAAGCTTCATGACTTATACAGGCATAAAATGGTCGGAAGTAGTAGTACTTTGGTAGCTGACGCGTCACATCAGTCAACTCAATACCATCCTTCGTCAAGATGTCAATATTTTTCGCTTTCCGATATGCTGCACGGCTTTAAATTTAAGGACCATCCAAATACTTGTATTGGTCTTCTTGGTAACAATAGTTTGTTCATGGAACCGACATGTGTTAACTATGTATCAAGGGAACAATTTAAAATGTGTGACAACTGTAAAAAGAGATTTACACAAAGTGCAAAAAGTAGTCCTTGGTATCCATATGTTTTGCATAAAAATAAAAAAGATTTGCACAGACTTTCCTTGAGTCATGATAATCCTTATCAGTTTCACAAAAATATTTCAATCGATACATGTAATATTTCTTCACTGCTACATTCCGATCGTTCTTGTAACCTCCATTCAAAAGAAGAAATAAGAAAGGGAGGATCTATGTCTGATTATCGCGTCGGTGATAATGAAGCTTGTCATGAAACTGCAAGAACGTTGAGAGGAAGTCAACAAGAAAACGAGACGCCTTCACTGCTGTTGTTCCCTCCCCTCTCCGCGCCGGTTTCACCACGACTTCATCGCAAGGTGTTTAGCAAAACATGTGCAAAATTGAAAGATGGATCGATATGTGGAGAGGAATTTGACAGTATTCACGACTCACCAAGTTCTAGACCTGCCAAAGAAAGTTTTCTCTCGCAATGGTTCGCAGGGAAGCCAAAGGCAGCTTGTGGGAGTTCGGGTTATGAAAGTGCAATCAGAGATAGTTCAAGCTCAAGTTTCGGATCTAGTCAAGACTCAGACCACGGATCTCAGCCTGAGTTTTACGATTCAGGGAAACTGGAAACATCTCCTGGAACAAGTAGAAGAACTAACCTCTGCTCCCGATCAAACAAAGGTGAGAAAAATATAAAAAAGATTTTAAATTGATCACATTGATAGCGATAATTCCTTTTCCCAAAATATTGAGTTCGTGGTGAATGGCTGCACGACTGATCATTAGATAATACCCTAACAATATCCACTTTGTCAGAGGAATGTGCAATTGTCCTAAATATGAAAACATGTGAGAGGCATTCAGGGACTTAAGATAGACTTGATTTTAACAACTGAAATATACATACTACTAAGGGTGTAACGTTTGGGCCCGCAAGCCCCACAATGCGGGCGGGCCCTCGTCAAATAAGGCCTCTTTTTAGGGGATATTTTTTATTATTTAAAACTACTTTACTACTCATGTTTTCTATACAATTTTATAAAGGGGGCCATGCTAAACGTTTTGCGGGCGGGCCTGCACTCATTTCGTTATGCAACTGTAATACTGATACTTGAATATAATACTTGAAATAATAATTACGAAAAATATAAGATCCATATGCATAATTCCACTTATAAATGATTTTTATACGAGTATAAATAGCAATGTACATTTCATATATGTATAATCCATATTTATGTACACACGTAGAATTTTCTCCCCTTTCATTCAAATTCTCCAATCAAGAACTCATCATTCTAATGCCACCACTTAAATAAAACTATTAGTCCTTTGATCAGTCTTCTTATTTGGCATTTATATTTCATATTTATGCCTTACTTTTTTAAAGCCCATCGCTCTTTTTGGAGGGAGAAAAAGAAAAGACAGTACGTGTCAGTCTTTAAAGAGTATCACCACGAATGTGTTGTAATTTTTGTTTTTATTTTCTTGTCGCCAATTCTTATCTAATTACCATATTATCACAATTCATGCCTATGCTTTTGCGTATGCCTATGTCAAATACGTTTCATCCCATTTCTTAATCAGTAAAAGTTTCTTGTTTTTACTTCTGAAATTTCTCGAATTACATTTAACACGTATCTCAAAGTTCCATTTCAGTAATTACATATTATTAGACAACAAAAATTTCTATTTGTAACTAATTCTGCCGAGAATATGGAGAATAGGTAAATTCAATCTGGATTTTAAGAAACTGCTTCAACATGTATTTTAAAAATTATTTATTTTCATTCAAGTAAGGGGGAAAGATAATAAATACCGTTAAAAAATATCAGAATTTTTGCAAAAGTTGTTTGGATCTGCATGAGAAGCAAATACTTAGCATGTGTGACTCCCAAGACAACATACATCAAATTTTAGGTATCTAATGTTTCATACCATCTTTGGTTCCCATCTTTGACGAGACGTCTTTTATTGTACTTTCGCTACAGTTCATTTTCGATACATTTTCTAACTATATTCTCAGAGGGTCTCTGAGAATATCTAATGGCCCTCTGGAGGGAATCTAATGGCCCTCTGGAGGGTGAATGTTCCTATTGGATGAGTAAACGTCCTGGCAAGAACAGTCTGGCAGTGGCGGCTTCTAAATTGAAGTCGTGGTGAAGTGCTATTTCCTATATGAATCTTTCACAACTTTTAGTTACTCTCATATGCATATCTTTTTATATCATTATTCCAGTCAATTCCGGAAGGCGGACCGTTTCATAAAGTTTTTATAATTATACAACACCTATTTCTTGGGTGAATGAAGGCTAATAAAAACAATAATAATAATAATAATAATAATAATAATAATAATAATAATAATAATAATAATAATAAAATAATAATAATATGATAGAAATACATTTATCAAAAATTCAAATATATGAATATTTTACAAATGTTTTTTCTCGTTACCTGCCGTATTGTAAGAAAGCTCTTGAGTGCAGTACGTAATTGAATATGACAATATGTCAGGTTCAAACATTCTGTATATTCAAGCAAACAGAAAACCAGCAAACCCTGCGTGGAAAAACATGGTGATAATAATATTAATAATAACAATAGTAATTTTAGTGTGATAGTAATGACAATAAAGGTAATAACAGGAGGAGGAGAAACGTGCGAAAGTGAACATAATCAGTGTCAGGATTAAAGACACAAGAATTATTTGGATTAAGATACTGTAAATCAAGCTCTGGAACCTGTATTGTCCTGCAAATACCTTGGTACAGGAAAAATACGAATGATCTTGGGTGACGCCGCGTCGAAGGCAGTGTTGCCTGCGTTTCGACCAGGGATGTCTTTCTCTTGGCTGAAGTGTACTAGGCTGGTGGGGGCGCTCAGGTTTGTACACTGCGGTAGGCCGGGCGCTGATTGCCTGGATGTCCGGAGGGACCGGGCAATGGCGGCAGGAAGCAATCGGGTAGGGCGGACAAACCGAACACCAAGTGCAGAGCCCCTGTGACGGCCCTGCGCGATTGTTAAACTCGCAATTGATCCATCAAATTAGGTTTTTCAGAAGCAACGAAAAACTTATTGCAGACAAGTTATCGTCTTTTCAAACGATGGAATATGCTGTACTGCTGAAGTATTGTTACAATAGTCCACGTACACTGCTATCCAGTTAGCTACTTATAATTGTGACGCTATTTCAGGTTAAAAGTTGGACATGTTTGCTTTTGTCCGAATCACCTGCGGACATGTTTGCTATTGCATAAAATGGGGCTACATTTATAATTATCACATTTCATTGGTATAAATTACTTGACAGCAGTTTACATGCAAATATTTTATTTTTCCAAACAGACGTAACTACTATAACAATTTCTGTAGCTCATGTAACAACTTTTTGACACTAAAGAAATTACAAAGAACTAAAATGATATTAAAACCTATACAGCCATGATAATCATCTGAACAATTACAATTATCTTTACAGTTCTTGGCTATCCATTACAGTTTGATTTTCAGCTATTGGTTCATCAAGAACATGGGAATACCGTTCCAGACCAAGAGTATCTGAAGAATTTTCTCTATTTATCTCCTACAAGTTCAGTCAATAGACCTGCTACATTAGATCTCTGCTGAGGGCGACCATTATACCATGCTTGTTAATGAAAACCCCGTTTCCAAACGGTCGAAGCGGGAACTTAATCAAATCAAAAATATTGCTGTGGTATAACTTTCACTGTATGAATCTTCTTCCCCTCCATTGTTTTCTGAGTAATCATGTGCTTCACATTTCTGATGTTCTGTACGTTTTGCACAGTTTACTACTCAAAGACAACTCAACAGACGTTTACTACTCAAAGTCGTTGTGTTCATGAGATTCCAATCTTCTAATAACTAAAGTAGGACGCTGTTGTAAAGGCTTCACAGATTGAATGAACAACGCGACAAGAGCAGTCACATGATTGTCAATCTTGACATCTTATTGGTTACACCCACATGTTCTTTATTGCTTGCAACAACGCTGTGGACACATTGGATTTTACCTGAATCTCGTATGTTTACAAATAAAATTATTAGTAATACATTTGCTTTTGCACATCAGGACAAATACACCTGACGGCCAGTATTACTGCAATGGTAACTCTTCTTTTTTGTGGATGGACATGTTTGTGTTTGCATGATCGCTCCTCCACTGAGACCAGTTGGTGAAATGTAAAATGTAGCCGTCATAGGGGCTCTTAACTCCTAAAGGCTTTTCGAACAGTTTCGAACTGTCTCATAAACTCAACTGAAAGTATACCGGGAGGTCTAGGGTCGAGTCCCGGCTGGGGTAGTCAACAGGCGAACATGATTTATAACAATATCTTATTACCTGGTCACATTTGTTTCATCATCATCATCATCATCATCATCATCATTATTATTATTATTATTATTATTATTATTATTATTATTATCCGTTTTCCGTGCATCTTCACTGATGGTGGATTCCCAAAACAATCCAAAAAAAAACAGTGGTTTGTACTTAAAGTGGAACAAGAACATGTTTTCTCTCTATCCGTCAATTCAGGCTTAAGAATTTACGGCATATATTCGCTGTTCCCAATAATGCAGATTTCTGAATGGTTCGCAGAAGTTTCTCAGTCAGCAATAATTTCTTTGCGGTGTCTTAGAGTTCCTTGGTGACCAAGTCATTTGCTAGCACCAACACTGGAAGCACTTCTACGGCACGCAATCCATACATTTCCTTCAATTCTACCAGTGATTGGTATTTCCTCTTCTTCTCAACAACAGTTGTTACAAGCTTGTCACCTGTAAGGACAGTAGCATCAATGATGTATTTTTTAGATATTTTAATAAACAGAACAATATATACTCAATTGCTTCCTCTGTTCGATCAGTGATGATTACACTATCCCATAGAATTCGAGCTCAATTATTGCTGATTACTTGCTCTTGTTTGCATTTGTAATAAGGTTGGTCACTCTCTATGAGGTCGTATCTTTTGACAAGGGCCTGGTAAAATACTTAAGCGACACAGATGTGCCTCTTAAGATATTCTGTTTGAGTCAATGCGGGGCATTCACAGCCAAGATGCTGGAATTACTCGTTGGTAGATTTACATAGGCAACATCAACTATCAATTTGCTGACCCATAATGCATTTTTTAATGCTCTAGTTTTAACAACATTGTCTTGAATGGAGAAAAAGGCATTCTTCAGTCTCACCAAACATACCCCCAGTTCGAAGCTACTCCAGAGAGCATTACTTATCAACATTCTCCAATGTTAAGGTTACAAAAACGTATAATGAAGTTATTTTCCTCGCCAGGCATTCATGCGGTCTTGATACTTCAAGTAATGACAATCGTAGCTTAATTGTGCCAGATATAAGGGGGTTATCGTCTTATTCTGACTCCAGACAGCCCTGTGAATAGAGGAGTTAATGGACAGAAAGTACTGACGTAGCTTTTTTTCTTGCTGTTGGTGTAAGTCTCCAATTTAGGTAGTCCACTTCCTTCGCTAATTCGAGTTAAGTACAGCCTGTCCACTGAGCTCTGAGGAGATGAAGTCGATGCCTCGTAAACTTAGTCCTAATTTTCCTGTCAAAGGTCTTTTAGGATATTTCTGTCCATATTATTAAACGAAATATGTAAGTTGCTATGAGGGTAGCCAGTGCATTAA